TGTCATGTTAAACTTATATTAAAGTTTTTCTTCATTACCCATTTAAGCCGTCTCCAGCCATTATTGTTATATTATCTCTAATAAGATGCTTAATAATGTTTTATATTGTGTTAAAGTAACTTCGAAATCAAATTGATGTTTAATCTTTTAAACTTGGAAATGAATTGATATCTTTTTTATATTAGAATGTGAAATGTCAAAAATAAGTCCTGATTTTGAAAAACATTCTCTTAAGATTTATTATTTTAGAATTTACAAACAAACAATGTTCTTTATTTTTACTTTTTATAGTTTACTCAGTTGAATTAGATCGCAGTTTCAATCTAAAACCATCAGTTAACCCTTAACAAAATATGAAAATAATGTTTATTGGACGAGATGTTGGATTTATCCGATAATGGCGATGTTTGACTGTTTTGTTTACCATATTTTTCTTGGAAGGCATGTACTCCATATTTCTTTAACTTAATCCTAAAAACTTTCTGGTATATTACAAACTGAAATAATTCCATAAGGAAGACAATGGACAATTGTATTTTCTTACGAAAATTTGATATGAGTGAATACCAGTAATTTTTTTCTATTCTTAAGTCTATATTAATAGATCCTGAGTGTCTCCTCTTGTCCTACAAGATTAGTTGTAACAGGTGTTTTCGTATAGATAAAACTTGGTACATAAAAATACAACATTTTAAAATAACATCTTTGTGAAAAATGTCTTAGAGAATATATATATTTGAAATTATCCATTTTCCCAGTTAAAGCTGCTTATCTGACTAACACACACACACACAGATATATATATATATGTTTGCATATACATATATTTATTTAGCGAGAGAGAGAGCACGTGGCTACACAGAACAGCGAGGCTGCCTTACAATTATGACCATATATCTTTTCTATGAACTGATACTACAACAGTGTGACTTATTTCAGGAAAATAATACACTAGTTCATAGCAAACACGTATACATAACGTACTTTGATCATAAAATCAATTGAAAATGACTAGTACTGGTATAGTGTATTCTCGACACACGAAATAAGAACTGCCACATTAACTTCATATAAAGAGGAACACAAAAAGTTACTACTTGCTGCTGTCAAGCTTGAAGTGTGAAATCGTATTTAACCATAAATTTAAAGTATTAATGTACTCAGAAAAAACAATAATTAATCTATCGAAACCTTGAAAAATGTTCGAGTGATAAATATTCTAGGTTCCATTTCATGTGGTGGACACAGAGTATTGTATATGATGAAATAAATTACCATAAACAGCAACTGTTGTATATGATGAAATAAATTACCATAAACAGCAACTGTTGTATATGATGAAATAAATTACCATAAACAGCAACAAAAACACGATAAAAAATATGAAAATACGTATAGTCGTTAGAACAGTAACAATTTCAAGCTGATTGTGACTTAACTGGAAAAAGTCACAAACTATAATCCCACCCCTCTTTCTGCTAGTATAGAGAAGTATTTTTACATTAAGGTAAAAAGTAGTCGAATGTTTAAGATTTCAAAAAGTAATTGTCACATGGGCTTAACCTGAACGCTGAAAATGGTTTCAACCATTTTTTTTTATAACCTAGAAAAATAATTTGAAAGTGAAGTTCGAAAATTTCAAATATTTCAACCAAAATAGTGAGGTTTTATAAATTTGTTTCTAAACGCTTTAATTATTTGACAGTTAAAACGTGTTTATAAAATGTTGTAACTTTTCTATTTGAAGATCGAGAAACGTTTTCTTGGCTTTGAAAATCGTTAAGCTGTCGTGACAATCGATTGCTTATACACAAATCTTTAAAAACAATGTAAAATCAAGCATGCATTCAACAAAGTTTCATTTCTCCTGCTATTCTTCGTATAATCAGACATCTACGCAGCTGTCCTTCCCTCAGAAATTTTCAAGGTTGTATATGAATCCTTCTCTTGGCATTCACCGCGTGCCTTATGGTTTCTGAAACACATCGAGGCAAGAGATGAATACGGAGAGTCAGACAAGTACAGGGGAACCTTCTCAGTAAAGATTGCTCGTACAACCACCACTCTCTCAAAGTCACCTTGTGCATCTGTTGAAAATAGAATAAATTATGTTTTTACTTTACCTACTACCAATTAAAAGAGTGATTTACATCATGATATTAATTTTATATAATACCCAATTGTGTACATAGAACAGTACACCCCATTTAAAGGCAATTGTATGATGACGTCAAAAGACAGGGCACTAATGTTTCAACTGGAAAGATACTCCAAACTTTTATAAACGACTGCAATAACGATCATTAATAGTAACATAGTTCTTTTTTCAAGAAAATTATCTATGACAGGAAATATTTTGAAGTTCCAGTTTAGGTCTTTGACTATTACGTTATCAAACTATTCAATTAATGTTTATTATATTACAAAGATATTTATTAAAATATCACAAGTTTTCCATGTCTAACTTTCTAAACATATATTTCATAATCTAAAAATTGATTATACCATTTAGATATTATTGTTATTATATAACAATGTTAAACAAATAAATTGACTGGCTTTCTATCAAATAAGACATACTGACCCAAGAAATAGTAAATAGGTGCCACAGAGTGCGAGTTTGGTGGACTTAAAAGCATGTGAAGTAACATATGATAAGGAAGTGATCATTTGAAAGTCGACTATTTTCGATCAAAATCCACCAAGAAGGAAAGCCATTTTTTCTTAACATGTGTTCCATAAAATTACAATTCATATATATATCCGTTGTGTGTTTGTTACTTTTGCTTCTCAAGTGCTCAACTTTGTAGAAAACATCAACATAAACTTTTAAAAAATGTAAGAATAACTGGTTAATAAGAACGTGAAACTTAATGGGGCAGCCATGGGTGTTAATACTATAACTATAAATAATATTATGGTAATTCCTGTTACAGTATTATGGTAATTCCTACTATAATATTACGTAAACGCACCAACTATGAATAAATAGCCCTGATAAAGCCTATTTACATTTTTATGTACACCATTGTTGAAAAGTTAAAACCTTGTATGCTTTAACAACTATTTCAAATCTTAAAGTTAAAGCGGCAAAAATATGTCACGCTAAAAACGTAGTTGTTAGAGAAGAGAAATTTCTTACTTCATAAATATTCTAAACATTTCACCATACAATTACACACTGTCGCTATATAACAGGAGGAAACGCCAATAAACTAAACTGCAACATTAATGTAATGTAATCGTAGTTACTCACCGATCGAACAATTAGTTAAACAATATTGAGTACCGATTAAAGTGGCGGACATTTATCTCTAGGTTTTGTGTGGAAACGCAGGTCAAAGCAATTCTACTCATTCATGCTATCGAAGCCATAATAATGTAGTTTTATTTTCTACTCTTGATGATCTACACAATCTATTGGGCATGCGCAGCCTTTTCAGTATAAAAGACAAATATTGAGCGGTTAGGAACTAGCCGGTAAATATATACCCTAGAAAAGCTGAACAGAAGGAAGCCAACAAACGTTATTTATACACAGTTCAGGGGCCGAGTGGGGTATTCGGGGACTTAATCAAAGAGCACGTCTGTCCAGTTGTTCCCTTAATGTAAGCTTAACATTGGAAGAATCACCTAAGTCTGATTGAGATGTAACAACCTTTACCCACGCTGCACGCGGCGTTCCATATGCTTTGTACCCACAAAACAGAAGTATTGTCGCGTGAATGTCTCGTGGATGGCGCGTGCGCATTGAGAAACCATCTTGCAAGGTCTCTTTGGCTATATTGTTTCATTTGTTAAACCAATATAAACGTTTTAGTGATATTTATGATCAATGTCAGAAGTTTTTTTGTACAATAAAAAACGATCAAAGTTGTTTTTCTTAATGTTAAAATGCTCTCTCATGTTAAAAGAACAGATAACATCAAACACGGTATAAAATATTTTTATGAAGCTTTAAGAGAATTATGTTGAAACGAAAACTCTTTGTTCTAATAAATCTATTGTTCTAAGATCTTCATTTCTGAACATTGACTGAAAATAGAAAACTTACACGTGTAGTTCAGTAAGACACGACTTATATTTTCTCTTTTTTCATCTAAGTATATCTTTCTTTCCTTTCTGTTATACCAGGAAAGTAAACTAAATTAATCAGAAAGATTATATATCTCTCATCACTGAAATGTGTTAAATGGATTGATGACTGAAGGATATATTGCCAATTATAAGCAACTTGAACTACAGACAGAAGTCTACTCATAAGTATCTATGAACTTTAGTTGAATGGACGGCAACTGCCTGTTGCAGAAACACAAGTTTAGAGGACATCTTTCGAAAGTCTTTCGTCTTTAGTCTTCGGGAATACTCTACCCAAACAATCTATGAAAGAAGACATATCTAACCAGGAAAAGTATGCATCTAAATGTAAGGTTATTCCATTTATAGTCGTTTATGTACTTCCATGACATTGTCTAAATCTAAAACTATGTCGTTTGATCTAAGTATATTGGCAGTTGTTACGGGATTACTAGTGTTCGAAACATGTTTATCCTTTCTCTCTCGACTATGGGAGAGCAACGGCTGTTAGGGTAAAAACAGCAGATGGACAGTTGCCGTTACAGTAAATTCGAGCAGCTGTAAGCGTTCTTTTTGTGTTTTGAAGGAATACTTAATCCTGTTCTCAAATGAACCAAATTCTTCAAAACAACCAAGTTTGTATTATGATTCGCAAACCTATTTTTGGTTTCAAAATTTATTACAATTCTAATGTAAACGTTAAAGATTCAAAATATTTAGAATTGTGGTTTAGTCTTAATTTTAAAAAAGCATGTAAAACTGTGATATATTTTTATTGTAATTACATAGGTGCCTTCTGTATTTTAGAAATACTGTATTATTATAAATTGGTAATGCCTTATGCTTCGGCTAGCCCATTCATCACAAAACACACATTTACAGTTAATTTTGAATTTCAATATTGTTACACTAAACGTTTAATACTTGGAAAAGTCATAAGTCTAAATTTTGGACACTATTTAATGATCTGGAATTTGTGGTTGTATTTTAATTACTGGAGATTGTTGAGCAAAAAACAATTAAATTAACAACTGATTCTAAATGTATTTAGGGTATCCTGACTATCACATGCTTTGGATTATCTAAACATTTGTGTTTTTATGACTTTCCATTTCACGTTACTTATCCTTGGTGTGATGGCTGATGGCTCAGTAGAATGTCCCTTTTTACAAACAGGGTTGTAGCGAACCATTTCTACAAATAGTTAGAAAGCACTTATAACGAATCTTTTCTACAAAGAGATAGAGAATAGTAGACCCCTTCAAATAAAAGAGAAATCTAGGTAGATCATTGTTACTCTTATGACCACATATTAAATATGTAATTCAAATATGTTCAATAATTAGAAATGCGAAATAAAATGTTTATATTTCAGACCTATTGGTATTTTCAACTTGAATGACACATTATGCGTAGATTGTCTAAATAAAGTTGGCAAGGTCAGAGTCCTCTAGGATTCAGATACAGTCTTTTTTAATGTTGAATTAGGCCCGGCATGGCAAGGTGGTTAGGGCGCTCGACTCGCAATCTGAGGGTCGCGGGTTCGAATCCCCGTCCCGCCAAACATGCTCGCCATTTCAGCCGTGGGGGCGTTATAATGTGACGGTAACTCCCACTATTCGTCGTTAAAATAGTAGCCCAATAGTTAGCGGTGGGTGGTGATGACAAGCTGCCCTCCCTCTAGTCTTACGTTGCTAAATTAGGGACAACAAGCTGACTGATCACTCACTTAGGATTCTTCACACTGACTGATCACTCACTTAGGATTCTTCACATACACATACGTAATAGCATTCTTCCTATTTCCGTATGAAGCATTGATTAAGCATGTGATGTGTAAGGTGATTGCATTTGACAGTTGAAATTCTGTTAATGTATTTATCTTACTAAAACTTTGTACTGGATCCGTTAAGTATTTGTATTTTATATTCATTATATTCATCTGCCGCTGTCCCGAATTCTGAACAACTGACCCTACCACACATCATCGGCACTAAGGGAATGACTGTCACTTATATTACATCCACAGAAAGTGCGAAAACTATTTTATGGTATTGCATGTATTCGAAGCGGGCTCGCCAGCTATGAAATCCAGAGTTTCACCAACCCGTGCCCATATCCGATAAGAATAAATTTTTATTATGTCCATTCCATTATGGCCACAAATTAAAATAGACGCAATTGCATTTTTTTATATACTGTGGATTCGTAACATGGGAAATTTTAAATAATGCTTCTTAAAACAAGAGCGGCAGTCTAGCATGTATTTCATCACTTTCGTTAAGCTTAACGAGGTCCCTTGTTTCACCAGATTAGACAGTTACAGCAATGTTCATGGAAGGTATAGATTTTTGATCTTCTTAGTAATACGGTGTAATTGATATGATCAAAAGGAATATGTAATACAGTTATAAACATGAGGTTCTATTTCATTTTACCTCATAAAAACACCATGCTTTGCCCACCATGGATATAGAAACCAGATTTTTGGCGTTATAAGCGTTCAGGTTTATTGCTAAGCCACCGGGGAAGGGGGCATATTAAAAAAATTAAACTTGATATCGTAGTTTTGGGAGAAATTATAAATTAGATTTTGTTTTTTTATTGGCAAACAAGAAGTTTCCTGCTAAAGTTTGAGATCATACACTGACTGATCACTCACTTAGGATTCTTCACACTGACTGATCACTCACTTAGGATTCTTCACATACACATACGTAATAGCATTCTTCCTATTTCCGTATGAAGCATTGATTAAGCATGTGATGTGTAAGGTGATTGCTTGAGGCTCATATTAATGCTAAGATGTAGTAATATCGTGGTTAGTCTTCAAGACTCTTTTAAGACCAAAGATCTCTCCTACTTTCAAAGGGACGTGATATGATTATCTATATATCAGGGTCCTTTTTATCAAATACAGTTTCTTTGACCGCTGTTCAAAGGCATTTACCATTATAGTCTACTAACATTAGCAGTCCAGAGGGTATGCATCTAACACTTGGAAAACTAT